TTATGCATTACAAACACGTAATGTTTTTCTTTGATTTTGATTATACACTTCCTTTATATCATTTTATTAAAATGTAAATTTATTGTTATCGTGACCTAGTAGTAAGTAAATAAAACTATCTCGACTTACTGACCCAAAGATCGTGAGTTCAAATCTGAGCGACTAAAAAGTTTATAGAATTATTTAAATTTCCATCGGAATCTCTTATATTAAAAAAATCGTTAATAAATCAAATTAATACGAGGGACAGTAGTGTCTTGCGCTTCCAAATTCAAATATGCTGGACGAACGATGGGCATACCGAATGTTAATTTCACAGTAACAGTAAAAGTCAACAGATATCTCTGGCTACCCTATCAAAGATTATAGTTATAATCATATTTAAAACGCATCCTACCTTTCCTACTACCTATAGGTATTTTATAGTTAGTTTTGACTTATATCTAGTATTTCATAAACTCATTTCTAATGACTAAGAAGAACATCCTAATTCCAAATATCAGCCGTGTATTGTTACTCATTCAACCTAAATGTTGCATTACAGGTCGTGCTTTTGAACAAGTTCCTGCGCAACACTACGCAAATAAAATTAGGTACAACTAAGGCGTTGGCTAGACAAATGATTTCTCAATCTTAAGAGCACTTAACATTTTAAAAGTAAGATGCATTTAATTCTGTGAAAATGTCGTCAGTTCGTCACATTATCAAAGTGTCTTTATCGGATTGAATTAGCATATTTTAGGTAGGGCACGTCAAGCCACAAATTCTATCTTAAAAGGAAATGTCACAGACACTCTACAAGCGAACGTCCATAGTAGAAAAAAGAATGTGAATAAAAACTCATCGACAGCCTACAATATACTGAGCGTGATGGAACCAGTTGCCTTTAAAGGAGTTATTTCCATTTTTTATAACGTTCGCGATCGTGATACGCATAAATTATAAGCATGATTCTTAAAATCAAGTTTATGCTGACTGACTATTAGTGATGATGCTTTGGTTAAAATATAATTTTCAATTTTAATCTGATTATAACACCGGTTTAATTGAAAGAAATGAACAAGATTTTATCCGAGCAGGGCGTTTTTAAAGATTCTTTTTAAATAATTATACTCTGAAGATTTCAGAATACCAATTATTTAAAAACATGTATTTATTATTTAAAAGAATAAAAAAAAACCTTGTTTTACATGAATCATTTAATAAACTTCCTGCGATGAGGGTGTTATATTAAAGAACTAGTATAATTTTATAGGAAATGCATTGTATTTACTATAATCTTCGTAAAGCTAGTTTTTAATCTCCCTAATCTTTATTCAGTATACGAATTACATCGATACTACTTTATTTCGATACTTATGTATTGAAACAAAGTAGAAATAATTGGATCGTTAATCTTTCTAAAAACTATTTTTGTACAAACAATCAAATAAAACAATTGTCATTCCGAGAAAAGAAAAGAAAAACGTATTTAAAATTTCGAAGGTTTGAATCATGCAAGTTATTTTAATTGAGCGTAACTAACCCAGGGACTGGACGTTTGTTCGTTATGTGATTTAAATAATTGTTCGTCGTGCGTTTGAGTAGTCATGAGAAACACAATTAACTCTAATTACATAATATACCTAAGAACTATCGAAAATGAGACAAAATGTCACTCTTTAACTGAAATTTTAAAAACTACTTGATCTATGAATAGGCATTCACTAACAAAAGAACTTGGAAATTCTCGCGGAAATAAAATAAAGATATACATAGTTTCTTCTTGCATAGTTTAGTTTCTGCTAGGGTGAAATAACATCTCATCAACTACATATCTAATAAAACATACAACATAGGCAATAAAACTCATGTAATGCCGATATTTATTTCATCTATATATGTTAAAAGATATCACTACTGTACTAGTAATGTATGTAAATTTATATGTATATTATGGGATTTAATATGTTACAAATTTATACATATAAACTCACTTTCACACTTATATTGTAAATAATGGAAACGATTATTTTATTTTTTTTACTTGTATACTTGCTACTGCTATTCGATTGCTTGTTAGGTATTCTATCTGTAGATACAAATCCTGTAAGGCAGATAATACAATGACTATAATGTTTCAGTATGCTTGGAACGTCCGGTCGAGAGCGGTGCCAATTTAAGAGATCACCGGATCTCACAACTGAAATGTATCTCTTTCTAATTCCCTTGGCATAATAGAAATTGCCAATAAGTTTCTCTGCTTTCAAAAATAAATAGAAATTGCAAATTGAACATTCGCTAGGAATTGAAAGTATTTTTAATGTTCTTCTAAAAAGGATGTAGGTACGTTTGAAAACGTTTAATTATGAATAAGTAGATACTTTGAATAATCGGATCACGTACAAATTAAGCCGAGCACTTCGTGTATTGATAAGTGTGAGAAAATCCGGTCATCATGATAATTTTGCTTAGAAACGGACATCCGTTAACATGTACTAGGTAGCGACAGTAGGATCAATTCTGAGGCACCATTTCTCTAAACCTATGTCTAAAATATAAAATACATAATTTTTTGGTCTGAGGACGAATATAGGCTAACTTTCTAAAAGATTTAAATAAAAAAAATATAAATTTAAATACTTTTTTTATATAACTGTACTGTTTATGGAATATACCACAAAACAGTAATTTCGCGTAAACATATATATATTCATAGGAAACCAGAGAGGTGATCAAGTCTATAATAAGCATATAAAAATATTATGTAATTACCTAGATAGTTATAAAAATAGGTAGGTCAAGTACACTAATAATTTAGTGGTGCGGTTTGGTCATGATCACTTGTAATTCGAAATATTTCGTAAATGTCATTCCCTGAATTCAAATCATTACGTAAAAGCAGATCATTATCATTTTCTAAGTTTTAGATACTTATAATATTATCTGCGTCATCATTACATTACATTTAAATAGGTACTATCAAAAAAAAAAAAACAAACGACACTAAATTATTATCGTCTTGCTAACAAGAATTTAGCACAGTAAAAGCAGTTACACAGCTAAGGTATATAGCCGGTTATTATCCAGATATCAGCTACAATATCGTCAATGTTGCAAAAGGATGTCCATAATAGCAAAGCTTAGCGAGTTCTTATCCTAATGTCCCCAATAAGACTAGTTTGTAACTCTAGTGGTAATCAGCATAATCTAAGAAGGTGTTTATGGTGAGTATGTGAGCGTATAGGACGGGGAATGTCGGCATCTTCTAAGTAGTGGTATCTAGGAGTCTCACATGAGATCATTTAGCATTCCGTCGGAGCTGCGTGGCTGCGCGTGCAATATATTCGCACTTACAAACGTGCGGTTATAAATACAAATGTTTGATGTCAAGATTTGTAGTAAAAATGGACGCCTTAAAGATAATATTTTAGTTAGCTCTAACCGGTACCTTTGTTCCGTTGAATAAAAATTCAATGTATTAATTGATGATATAGCCGAACCCCGTTTTTTTTTTTAATTTCAGCCGCTCACCAACAAGTAGATATTAAAAATTACCATAAGATAACATTTGTAAACCACTTTTGTGGTATAAAAAATACTTCTAAAAACACTGCTCTTAAATATTATTTAGAACAAAAATACATCATAGTAGACAAGGTGACCATAAATAAAATGGGGGGATCAAGATCTAATCTCAACGCGATGTCTCCTCGGCCCGCATCATGTAGCAAAACAAGTTTATTGCGAGTTCTTTCATAACAACAATAAGGAAATACAGTTACTTCTGGTGTCCACTAAACAGTTGAAGTAATGAGGACGACATGTGGTGGTCAGAAGAGACGATTATCTTGTCTGACCACATATAGACAAAACTGTTGTAAAAAGACTTCGTGACTGACTGATTGATCGTCGAATAAGTACAGATAAAGTGATTTCATTATGATTCTATAATATCTTTTAAACGAACGTTACTCGATCCAAATATCTTTGAAAATTAGGCAATACATGTCTGTTCAAAACAAACTGAACATAATTATAAAATGAAAATGTTAAAAGTGTAATACTAAAATGAATAAAACATTATGGAATTCCTATTGATATTAATAACTTCTTACTGCACTAAATAGATATACATTAAAGTATATTTTCGCTAACACATATTTAATTTATTTATGATTTGTTAAGTAGATACCTATTAATATTTAAATTTAGTGAAGATAACGTTATTTTCTTCGAAGTACATCAACCATAAATGACCTATTGATTTGTTTACGGAATCTCTCAGAAGTTAAAGTTGATTTTCCATAAATCATCAAGTGTGGTGCTTTGTAAATTTGTGTAGGCGAACCTGACCAATGTGACCATGTTATAAAATACACTTCTAACCTAATATATTTACTAGAATTCCTATACCCACCTAATATAGGTATAGTCTCCTAATTTTTTACTTCACAGACGAGTGATATATATATATATATATATATATATATATATATATATATATATATATATATATATATATATATATATATATATATATATATCACTCGTCTGTGAAATGTGTCATGACATCAAATTTTTTATTTAATCTAGTTACAGCTTTTCTTTATTGTTACCTTCGAAACCCGAAACTCTAGCGTTGGCGTCAACAATGTCTGTAATCACCACCAGAGAGAGCTACACGTGCACTCTTCCGGCCCATTAGCATTGAATGGCGGCGCGTGCGCTTGTCGCGCGGATCATTGTCGCGCGGCCGCGATTTAATCGACTACAAATCTCGACTCGATCTAAATCAATCTCGACCGACACTCTTAGTTGTATTGTTCTCGTTTCCCTAGTGATTAAACCTAATGACCACATTTGACACGTTCATTATATGACACTATGTCGATTCTGCTTTCGACTTAAGGTCAAGAGCATTGCAATACAGTAATCCTTTAGTACCTTAGAAATTTTCACATCTGCTATTATACTAAACATCTCAAACACATCTGCCAATAGTTAAGCATAGTACTTACCGGTAACTCGAGGTAGTCAGTTATAGTGTGTTTAGCAGCTCCTCTTCTAATATCAGCAAGTGCAGTAAAATGCTCGTCACGACGCGCCTTTCGACGTAACAAAGCACGAGCAAATGGATATGCGGAAAGGTACTCCCCGTAGGCGTCCATTAACTCTCCCATAAACAATTGTTTCAGTAATATCGCGCTTTCGCCTTCTTCGCCTTCCGTTGGCGGAGGCGGTAACTCGCGGCACTTAAGCGACTCCGGGATGCTTTTCGAAGCAAAAGTACTAATCCCGCTAGTCGATTCACATGACGTAAACACGCTCGTTGAATCGCTCGAACCACATTTCGAAAATGGAAACGCGGAGGAGGCACCACTTTTATCACTACTAGCTGAGCTTTGACGGGTAGTGCTGGCTTTTTCATAATAATCAGGATATTGTGGTTCAGATTGACTTTCAGTTGAAGGTGAAGATTCTACAGCAGCAGCGCTTATATATTGAGAATTTTTGATACAATCATATAAGTCCTCGATAGATTCATAAGGTGTTATACTGCCACAAGATTCACCATCTCGCAACGCTTCATAGATTTCTTCATTTCGACGTCTAGCAACAGGAGTTAAAGCAGACTCTGAACGACTACGCTTCACGCTGCGCACTAGATCATATCCAAAATCGGTTGGGTTTAGAAAATCCCATCGTACATTAGCCCAAACGTTTTCATTGGCATCAGCTGATATTCTGTGGTCAGCACAACATTGTCCACTACTTCTAATGGTTACAGTTGTCACGTTATCACTGCTCTCTATAATAGAGTTGTCAGCTGCAGATTCGTCGCAATTTATTGGTATATCAACAATTACTTTGCGAAGACTAGCACTTATAGAAGAAATGCTAGATCTGTTATCATCTTCAAACTTACGGTTATCTGATGGTTCATTAAATTCTGAGTTAGTAATTACTGAAGACCCATCAACATCTTGTTGAGAGAGAACTCCTTCCTGAATTAATTCTGTAAGTATACTTTTTTCTTCCTCATCAATTATAATAGATTTCTTTGAAGTAATTGAATGTGTATCATCTTCTTTCTTACCATCGTTTAATAAAAGACCAGAGTCTATGTACTTTCTCATTCTCTCAGTTAATGCTTCACTAGCTTCAGACACAGATTCAAGGTAATAGAAGAGTAGATGATATTCTTCCTTGGTGATAACAGCTGCACGTAGTAACGGTTTTCCATATAATTCCACTGCTGAATACAACGTAGCAGCTGTAATAGAGATAAAGTATCTATCAGTCGTGTACAAAATGCCTTCATAATAAATTATGACACTATTAATTGCACCAAACATATAATTCTGTATTGTTCTAAAAATCATTGTAGGAGTTATAAAAGTCAGATTACACATCTATTGAATTATTCACCTTGCGATAACGTTCATCAGTGTATATGACCCAGACCTTTGTAACTCCTTGAACTCATCGAGAGAGACTGTCTAAAATAGCTGTCAATAAATAGGTACAAGTATAATTATTATTAGTATATTTAAAGTATATGTGTATGTATGTTATTTAATTAAAATTATTAATACTTTACTTTTCAGTATAAATATTAAATTTGAGTTCATCGTGAATCTGCGGGTACAAATAATATCGATGTCTTTGATACCGATTTGTTAAGGCGTTCTTTTTTCCAATTAATAATTATTATACAGCCTGCCAAATCGCGTGAGTTCTAAATGTATTAAAAAAATTCATATTTTATTCCACAAAAAAACTTTAATCATGACAAAATTAATATGCAACTAACTGAAAAATTCTTATGGAAATTATTACATATACACACATTACAAAAACCTGAAAACCTTATCCATTTTGAAGTCGCACACAAATATATCACATCATTGTCATTATCATCATCATATCAGCCATCTACTATTCACTGCTGAACATAGGCCTCCCCCAAAAGAAAGAGGTTTTCTCAATAGTTGCCACGCTTGATAGGCAGATTGGCAACCGAAATTAGGCTTTTTTGATGTTTTAAGAGGGATGCTGCTTAGCCCTCTCTTACGACACCCACGTGAAAGGTAAAAGTAGCCTATTCTATGCTGAGACCACACAGTAAACATCACATCACAAATTAATAATTTATCAGTAAAATAATAATTTATAAGTTAAAATATTTGGAAAACATCAATGTATATTATATTAATGTTTTCCAAATATATTTATATTCACATGTTTTATTCCACATATTTTAATAACATGAATATCCTACTAATACTATAAATGTGAAAATTCGTGATTTTAATAACGTTTACATTATATACCTAATATAAATACCAGGACATATTTGAATGTTAAGTTTACAGATCTTATCGTGGATCCTATACTTAATTATGTATATACATATACACACATCATCGTTTATTATAATAAACGATTCTCTTATGATAGTTACGAAAAAGTTTGAAGCGAGTTATGTACTCGTATGCCAGGAAGATGTAATTGATACGTTTTCTCTGTTTCTTTAAAATGCAAAGCTGCAGATTGCAACTATAGTTTAAAATCTTTTCTTATAAAATATACATAGAAAACCGGTTTAGATATCAAATTGTAATATCAGTATGATGGTCACGGTTGGTGCAAACCAAATGCATACGAGCCATTTCTGCGAAAGATTACTGAACAATGGCGTGCGTACGCGTCTCATTATTACCAAACCGCTTTCTACAAACATGCTATGTCTGCATACGGAATATTCAATGTCTAACTGAATATATTTAGGCAAGCTTATTGATGACGTCCTGTAGTGACTTATGATAAAGAAAGCTAAACGTTAATTGTCTTTTAGAATTAACCGTTTTTACTTTTTGTGTTTGAGGCGTTTAGTTGTGTGTAAAATATGCATTGTATTACAATAGGTATTAAATGTGGTATTATAGATATAAATTAGGTAATGTATTCTGTAATGGTCATGTCTATTGGTAACAGTTAACACTTTCCATGATGTGGACCGCTAACTTGATTACCATTTTAAATTTCAATTTAAAATTGAGATTTTGTTAAAAAAAAAGCGACTTCAATCGTGATAAAATGTGTACACTCACATGTTGGTACTATCAAGGAAAAAAGATGTATTAAAATCTGTATTTGGTTAAAGATTATAGAAGATATCGCATAATACACTTATAAAAAAATACTTAATGCAGGAGATTTGAGAACCTCTAGAATTAAGCAAAAAAGGTACCTATTTTATACACATACCGTATTATGAACTTTAAAATTATACTGTATTCTAAAAAGATTTTACATAATAATCTTTTATACTGACCATAAATCTTTTCCCAAGCTATGAATGTCTCCAAGTCTTTGCCATCCCAAAGTGGTGGTTGGTATTCCACTACCAGAACTTCGCCTTCCAATGAAGCCGCTGATGCTCTTGGTTCTACAGGCGCTTTGGAACCGCCAAGAAATAAAAGAGCTGCAGGAGGAGCGGGCGGAGTAGTGATGAATGCTCCCGGCAGTGGCAGGGGTTCCGCGAGAGGAACAGTTTGAGGTGCGCATAGCGGGCCAGTCGGAAGACCAGCTACTACAACTCCCACCTCTTGAAGTGGTTCGCAAACAACTTCAGCAACTGTATTATTGCCCCACACCGTCACCTGCAAAGAAATGTATTCAGTAAATATTTATTCGTATATGTGAAACATAATTAATACTTCTACAATGACTCTAAATTACCATGAGAAACCCTGTCCTAGTTTAAAATTAAACTAAATTCCAAATCATAAGGTTAAAGAAGCAAAGGGGCCGGTCATATAGCTCGACAGCCCATGGAAAAAAGGTTTTCGAATGGCGACCCCATTCGTGCAAAGTCAGTGCAGGACAATTGGAAAAGGCGACCTGAGCCCTATTGTTCATCAATCTATAAATTACTCTGTTTACCCGTGTTTCAGTCATGAAACAGCTGTACTTGTATGACTGTATTTCGGTTTGAAGGCTATGACAGTGAAATAAAAAAAGTAGCATAACACCATAGAATGATATCATCGAGTATTTTGTGATGTCCATAGCATGTCTATAAGCGATGGTTACCGCTTTCAATCAGGTAGGCCATCAGTTTTTATGCCATTCTAAATATCATAAAAAAAACGTTACCGAAATGAATAGGTGATCGAAAATAACTTCTATAGCTCAAGACTATCATGTCTCAAATAAGTATTAAGGAAATTTGTATAAGTAATACTACTAGAAGATATAGAAAAGTACTTTGTGTAAGAATCTTGTTGCTTGTATTCAGATTAAAATCTTCATTTCTACATGCTTTCATCGCTATGTAATTAACATAATTATACAGTAAATATGTATACAACATGATCACATCTATCTAGGTCTCCTAACTGTGGTACAAGGGCCCTGATATTGCGGCAACAGACTTAGCTGTCATATTTCCCTACAAAATTACCGTTAAAACATATTTATATCGTCGTTATATCACCTAACGCTGTGTAAAATGGCTTACTTATGTTGGGTGCCGTGATTAACGAAGACAAGGCAGACATATTTACAACTTCTCTTTAAAATATAATAAGGGTGTGATAAAACATTTATAGGCAAGAAACCATTTCAAGCCTCCGAGCGAATTCTCATAGTTGTGCATTTAAAATAGATGCGAGAATGAAAATGAATGTCATAAAGCGTGCAACATAACTATGCCCTTCGAGCACAGTATAACAAAACGTGAGCAGAACGCATTAATATGTAGATATAATAAGATGTAAATGCAGGAGTCTCGAAGACCTTGACTGCGCGGGTTCATGGCGTTTTTTACTGGATCCTCGTGACGTCACGCCCAAGTTATGCGCGGGCGCATCGCTCGGCCCCTCCCCGCGTGCCTCTCGCCGCGCCCAAATCGAACCCTCCACAGGATAATGCGTCTGATCTGATACATCTTCAATGAGGAAAAAAAACAAGATCCAGCGGACAAGAAAAAGCCCGACGATTTTACACGGCCAGTGCGTTTTGATTATACAAAACCAGAAGAGTTGGTTATTGGTATATAGATACCTAAGATTATTAAGTTTTATTTTATGCATGATTATTTGACGTTGTTTCAATGTAAAATTGTGGCATCAATAGTGCCAACAATAGCAAAATCACAGACAACATCAAACCAGTTTTGAATTACCTCATTTTCTATTTCTAGCAGGAGAAATAACAACCTTGACAATAAAATGGCTAACAAGCCAAAATGCCTATTACAAATGATCAAAATAACGACCAGTTCTGACTAAGGATATACAAATGAATTATTATAAATAATCTTTTATTTCATCTGAAGTCTACAAAATAATTCTACGTTCATGAATTTTTAATTCTATGGAAGTGAATGTAATATTGAAATAAATCATAAAAGTAATAACTAAGAAAAACAATTGTTATTCATTGTGTATTCATGATGTACCCAAGTACTCTAAGTATACTTATTACGGTAGATATGCAGAGAGGTACGTGCAGATATTCGTAAAGTATTACATTATCGCATCCTTTGCTATTAAAGAAACAGAAATAATTTTAGCAGTTATAATGTGTTATATTTTTGATGAAGAATGTTGATGTTTGTTGTTTGGTGCATGATACACAGGGTATTCTAGGTCGAGGAGAAGACATTTGGTTCTATGGCACTTATTATAATAACGCAAATTTGAAATTATTTTTAAAAACTTACAGCTTATTATTTAATAGACAAAACTATATTAACCCCTACAATAATACAGTAATTTTTTTTTATATGCAACCTAGAATGGCATACAAGCTGACAGCCCACTTGATAGAAAGTGGTAACCACCGCCTATAGACATGAGCCAGTACCATGGGTACCATGGACATAACAGAGTATACTGTTTCACCCATGCGTTGCCATTCCTCAGGACTCAGATGTTATTACTCTGTACCCTGTAAATTTACTGCCATATCCCACCCTTCAAACCGAAATACAGCCATGCAAACACAACTGCTTCACGGTAGAAACACAATGGGATAGAGGTGCCCAACCAAATGACTTTTGTACCAAGTCTACCTCTGATAACAATTCTAAATTCGTATAGCATAAGAATAAATAATCCTATCCCTTATTCTTATACCTTTAGTCCTATAAGATAAACGTAAAGGTACTTAAGTACATTCTAAAATATAGTGTGAAAACAAATATTTATTCAGTATCAGGTATATGATACCTAAAAAGGAAAATCTCATTCGTTTTCAGTTGTTTACTTTGTATGTATCTTAGGCAAATATTGCTGTCCATTATACGGAACGGATGAGTTTATTTTACAAATATTTTAAGATAAAAATAAAAGTATACGTGACCGACAATACTGATAAATTTTAAGCTCACAGAATGAAGGCAAGTAAAAAATATGTTATTGTTATTTAACGTTTCGACCGAATACAATCCTTTCACTGATCTATCTATTTGTATGGATATTATAACGTCCTTTTACTAGATACTGGATACTCTATACATAAAAGGTGATATTAGCCCAATGTTACCGCGCTAACAAGGGTTTTTCAATGAGGTTTCATATAATTTTTTTCCCTTACACAGTATCTAGCTTCCTTTAGAACTAACATAAGTTACTAATTTGTAAAATGTTCACTCTACAAGGTTTCGTATCTGAACGGTGACATTCAGTCGAAAAACGCTCGATTGCGACCCGGGAATACTAAAACCGAATCTCAGCCTAAACATCAAAATTTTCAAACACATATTGGCATCGTTTATAAATTATTATCAGTTGCATTATACTTCGAAGGGCACGTAAAGCCGCTGTTGGGGCTTGATTCTTGATAACATAAGATGGCAACCATAGATGAATACTAGTAACAGGATGTTAGATAGGTTCCCTATTTTAAAAAAATAATTTAAATAAATAAGTAAATCTAATCCATTTAGCACAGAACCTTAGAGTTTAGTTCACTTATCATTTACCTAAACGGTCCTACAGATGTGGGGAAAGGATTGTTAGTAATGCGGATTACATTATTATATTATATTTCTTTATTAACCAAAGTAACAGTTCTCGTCACACCATGGCAAATCAATATTAACATTATAATTTTTAAATTATTAATATAAATAATAACAATGATAATAACAACTTTTGAAATATAAAATGAAAATAAGATTGTAAATTAATTACAGTACATGTCAATAATGATGACTATAAGTTTTAAAATTGGAATTGTCACAATTATAACAAAAAATAATTAAATATAAATAAATAATATATCATAATTTAATATTGGCATTTAGATATTCGGTCACGTTGTAAAAACTATGTTGTTGCCCAAAATATGTCTTTATTTTTAAATTTATTTCTTGGCAATTGTGTTATTGTTTTGGGTAATTTATTATACATTTTTATTTTTAGATAAATGCCTTGTTTCATAGTTTTTGTGAGTCGTGTTCTTGGCAATTCAATTTGATTTTTTTTATTTCTCGTGGTGTAACTATGATTGCCTGAATTTTTACGAGGAGTTTTACCACCTTTAACATATATTTCTAGTGAAGAATGTATATGAACAACAATAACACTGTCATTGTACGTTGTTGGATAAAGTAAAGCCTAATAAAGATGCGTTTATAAATGCCGCATATAATTCTCATAGCTCGCTTTTGTTACCATAGAACTTTCAACACGTCCAGCAGTCTCCTGAAAAACATCGTGCTGAATTCCAGGTGTATTCATCACGATGTGCTAAGTGACCTGCCTTTTCATTCTCACCTATCGTCCCTCACTGGTACCCCGCCAGTGTATGCCGTTAGCGCAAGCGAAGTTACCTTTCCATTACCATACATTAAAAAAAAATGGCACAGTCACTTCGTATGAATATTATATAAACACTATTATATTGATTGTTGACAACTGGTGGAACTTCGAATTATTATATAATTTATGGAAGAGTACAAGTGTTTATTATGTAAACACATTACTTTGTCACAGTGGCGTTAATAATAATTCGAAACAGTTCTTGTAATAAAATGTTATAAAATAATAAATACTTACTAATATTATTAATGTAAAAGTGTGATTGTTGTATCTTGTCGCCTATACAATTATTGGTATGATATTTGTGTTACACATAATTTTTAACGTAGCAAATAATTTATTCTTATCACGTAAACAGAGCACGCATAACTAGAAATAGATAAAATATCTAGTATGTTACAAGAACAAGGAGGTAGCCATCTAAATAATAATTTAACTACATACGTAAATGTGCATAAATTTATAATTTAAGTTTGAAGACGCCTCTATTATGTAAGTAATTGTTACAAATGTAGAAAGCTGTAAAAGTTTCATCCTATTTACGACTAAGTTAGCTTCGAATGCAATAAAATTCTTCATATCCTCAAGTCAGCCATTACACGCCTGTTAAGTATTATTTAAAGAGTTATTACCCTTTAAAAGAAGACACGGAGTTATTCACCTGAATCTTTGATCATTTGTACAGCTAGTCTAAGTGATTAAATTTTTTTCCTTTATTAATTGGATATAGTAGAATATAGTAATTGGATATAGTAAAATGTAGATTTTACTATTTTTATTTGTACTTAAATAAATAGGTATATTCGATTTCATATAGAGTGTTCATGAAT